AAAAATATGACAAACCCAGTTGGAAAATTAGGACGTTGGCTAATGACTTTAAACGGCTATAATATGGAAATAATCAACTGACCAGGAAAATTACATACAAACGTAGATACTTTAAGCCGAATACAACACTAAGGAAAAACCAACTCAGTTTATTAGGAAACGGAAATTGCACTTACTGACACCTCTATTGATAACGGATTTTTGATTTTAATCCAACCATGGATTCGGACACATATTTTGAACTTATACAATACTTAACGGACTTCACCCTGCCAACCAACCTAAATGATATACAACAAGCAGCGATCAAACGAAAAGCAAGGTTCTTTGTAGCCATAAACGGACAACTTTATAAACGAAATAAACAAGAATCACAACGACCCTTCAAAGTAATTTGAAAGTATGAAATTGAAAGTATTTTATACAATTTACATGCTGACCTCTTAGCTGGACACTTTGCTCTTGATAAAACATACAGAAGAGTAAAAATTAGATACTACTGGTCACAAATGTTCAATGATGTGCAACAGTATGTACAAACATGTGATATATATCAGCGAAGAGGTAAAAGTAAACGTACTGAACCTCTACATCCAATTAAAGTAGGACAACCCTTCGATCGAGTAGGGATAAATATCGTAGGATCTCTACCAATGACAACAAAAGGAAACAAATATATAGTAGTAGCGACCGACTACCTAACGAAATGGCCAGAAGCAAGAGCCATTCCTAATCAAAAAGCATCATCAGTAGTTTCATTCTTCTATGAGGATATAATATGTCGCCACGGATGCCCAAAAGAACTCTTAACCGATCGTGATATACACTTTGTTAATGATATGTTGAATACCCTTTGTGATGAATTAGGAGTGAAGCACAAATTATCTACAGCATACCATCCACAGACCAATGGTTTAGTAGAACGTTACAACCGGACCTTGTGTGAAATATTAGCAAAATTTGCTAATGATAATAAGGATGATTGGGATAATTTTGTATCCTCTGCACTTTTTGCATACAGAACGAAATCACATGAAACAACACGACATGAACCTTTCTATCTTACGTATGGACGTAATGTCACATTACCTATTGAATTTCAATCTGTTACACTCAATGCGATGTTGCCTAATTCAAATAATACATCAGATGATCTACTCCAACGTGTACAACAAATAACTGGACGAATGAAGGATGATATAAAAGAAACACAAATAAAAATTGATATAGCACAACGAAAACAAAAAGAACGCCATGATAGAAAATTATCAGTAGATTACAATTTCAAAATAGGACAATTGGTTTTGAAATATGAAAATAAAATTGAAGGCAAAAAGAAATTAGAAGAACGGTGGAATGGTCCTTATTACATACATGACGACCTTGGAAATGGAGTTTATAAATTAAGGACAATGGATCGAAAAATTCTTAAGGTACCAATCAATGGCTCGAGATTGAAACCCTACCACCAAAAACCTTTGCCTGAACCATTTGTACAACTCTAACCGATATAAATAAGCTGATAAAAATACCTACCTCAAAAAAAAAAAAAAAAAAAAAAAAAAAACGTAAAAATGGAAGACTGCGACTTCATTTTAACAGAAATAACCCATATCAATTAATTTTGAAAGACCTACAAAGAGAAGGACTTGACGACAATATGACTTATTCACCTTTCTACACCAATGGAATGACTTTGGATGAAAAGTTCTCTATAATAACCAGAATGATGTTTAGAGCAAAACGAGTGAACAACAAGACTCTCTTCCTAATTAATGCATTCTATTTAGGCGAATTTTTAGAAACATTAGATAATCTTACTACTCGTGCTATTTATGTGAGAAAATTGACTCAACACTACTACCACGCCTCAGTACGACTCTACTATCTTTATGAAATCTTGGGAACATCTCAACTCGCGAAATCTTGTAATATTACCTTTAATCTACTCCTCAGAATAACTAAGTTTCAGCTCAATCAGTTAATCAACGAAGCAACCAACATTTTTGCGAGAATGCAAAATGTAGGAGGAGAATGATGTTACCCTTGAAATTTGATCTGCAAAATTGATCTACAGATGATCTACAGTCAATCAAAATAGTACAGTCATACCTCTCTATAGCGAATTTTTATATAACGAATTTTTTGGATAACTATATTAAATTTACCCTCGTTATAACGAACTAGCCAATCAAATTCTTTAAAAAATTCACTATAGCTCTATAGCGAAGTTGAAGTTCAGAACATAAAATTCGTTATATCAAGGGTTGACTGTATTACTAGTTATGATTAATAAATATTAATCTAAGGTGGAGACTTTATCATTATTGATTTTTGTGATTATACCTTCAACTGAAAAAACTAAGGTATTATTAGAATATTCAATGGCTATTAAAATAATATGAATAGAATTTCAATCAAAATAATAATGATTACAATATAAATAATAATGATAGAAATAATAATAACATTAATGATCATCATAATAACTGTAATAATAATCTAAACTGTCTTACCTTAAGAGATTTGCTTTAACCTAGCTTCTATTCTTCATATAACATTATTAATGAAAATATAACAGTATCTATTTTAATATTTATATGTACTGATAACTATCAAAAACAACTTCATTTGAATAAAATGATGAATAAATTTGACTTACTTACATTGTTTATATTGCTTAACATGATAGAAAGTTGATAGTCACATTTTCATAATATATTTGCTAATAGTGATAATAGAAATATCTTACTAACAAATAGACTGTTTTATTATGTTAATTATTTTATATATAGGTTTTAATCATTAAAGCAAAAACTATACAAAAAATTACATCTGATAAGATTTAACAAGAACAATAATTCTTTGATCAAGTAGAATTTCAAAATAAAAGTGCTAGATATATTAGATATACTCACAGCTGATATTGGATAGTTAATATCATTAAAAATATGATATCTAATGATGTAATATACTCTACTATATTAGATCTATTATATAAATCTAAGCTTTATACTACTGTAACTGCTAATTAAATACATATATAGGTAGCATGCTGAGATACAGAACATATAATTTATTATGTTTCATACCTTAATTTTAATAGTATACCACCTAAATGTAATGAAAGATGTCAATGATCTATAAGTTTAGGTTAGATTAGTAATGGGACTTAGAAATTATTTTAATTAATAATTATTTATTAAGTTAATAATTAAATTATTAATATTAAAAATTCTAATTGGTCAATTTTTAATAAATCACATGATAATATATTTTATTATTATTAATCAAGTTATTTATAAGTATTTATATGGAATTAATTTCTTGAATCAATGCTATTTTAATTATTTGTGAGTCAAAAAGTTCAAGTAAAGTAAAAGGTTGCAAATTATCATCATTATTAGAATCAAATATATTAATATCATCAATTATTCTTGCTGATATTTGTTCTAAATCATCCATCATTTCGTCTACATTTATTTTATCTTCATTTGATATATTATCATTGTCTGTATTATTTAATTTATTATAAACCTTTAAAGAATCTAAAGAATCTTGAGTTTTTTTTGCAAACAATTGCTCTCTTATATACCATATTATTTGTGCTATTTTAACAGTTTTTTTTGATAATAAACAATTACACCGTTTAGTATGTATATTACCCATAAGAGACTATACCCTTTCTGAAGTTACTGAATTTGGTAGAATTGAAAAAAACCTATAAGCAAATTCAGCTAAATTTGATGCATGAAGTAAAACAGTTCGCCAATATCTTAATGGATTCTTGGTAAGTTTTAAACTATTTAAAGATTTCATCTTGAAAATACCTTCCTTATTTTGATAATCTAACTATTCATTTATAAATGTATTATTATCTTTATTCAGATATAATATACAAATAAAGAATAAGTATCCTTTTGAATTTGTAATAATTTGATCAATTTGATTTCTTTTCCTTGATAATATGGATACAAAAATCAGATAATAATAAAATCAGATTGTAAATTTTCTTTCATCAATTATCAATTTCACTAATCATTAGAGTTTTAAATTCACTTTCATTAGAAGGTAATTTGTTAATAATTTCTCTCAACTATGCTCATGTTGCTGCAACTTGTCTAAGAATAGCTTGTTCAGATTCTATAATCATAATAATATGATCATAAGATCTTATTAATTCATAAAACATTGTAAGTTTTTCCCAAAAATCAATATTTTTTATAGCATTAATTATACTATTATCACTTCTTTTATTTATAATTAAAAGATCAGAATAGGTAATTGTCATAATCTAATAAAAATAAAAAATTAGTAAAATTTAAAATTTATAAAAATAAATATAATATTATACTTACTCTTATATTGTCTTGAAATAATAAAATAGTTTTTGTAACTTTAAAAAAAATTGTCTAATGCGTAATACAAGAATAATGAGGTATTAAATTTAAATCTTATGATAATTTTCGTAATTTTGCTAAAGCCAAATTTGAGTTCTGAAAATGGTTAATAATTTTTAAAAGTATTTTAATAATGGACTTAAAAATAGGTGATTTTATAATTTTTTTGACAAGCAAATTTAGTTAAAAATGTTAAGTTTAAATAATAAATGTAAAATAAACTTACTTGACGCATAAAATGTTATGCTTTAGCCATATCTGATCTACTATCAGATATAAATCCTATCTATTTATTAGTTCCCAATTGCATTTTAACCTTTTTATATGCTTCATATACTTCAAACATAATATTTCCAGTATGATGAATATTTGAAAAGTTTTCTATTTTCCAAATTTGACTTTGACGTTTATCATTTATAAGAATAAAATTAACTATGCTTTGTTTAGATACATTTATTCATCTGTCTCCAGATAAAGTTAAAAATTTAGAATCTGTAACAAATTTCTATATCTTATTCTTTACTTCTTGATAAAGATGGGAACTGTAAATAATATGTTACAACTTTTAATGTTGCAACTTATGTTGCAATTAGTTTTAAACTTATATATGTTGCAACTAATTTTAGCTTAGGCAGCACCAAATTGATTTTCTGTTTTACATTTCGTTACGATCAATTATAATGAGGAGGGGAGGGAATACAAAAAAAAACATTTGAAAAAAATCACGTGTTTTATTAAAGGTTACATAAAATATTTTTATTATATTTCCATTTATTAGACAATTATTTATTTTGACGTTTATTTGATCTTGTATTTACTTTGTTTTCTATACGACCAAAGAAAGTTTTCCCTACTACTTGACACCCTTCACACATTTGATATACTAATTTAAATCTATCTTTTAATTCTTGAGGAATATTAATTAAATTGTTATCTTGATCACAATAATAACAAATTGGTATATTACCACTTTTTCTTGAAGAATAATATAGCCATTCGATTGGAGAATCACATGAAATACGAATACAAACCCAAATTTTAGTTGCTAATAAATGTCCTTCTGAAAAAATTGGTCCACCACAAGAATAATCAAATGATTCTTTAGCTATTTGAAGAGATTCAATTTCTTCTAAAGTCAATTATATATCTGAGTATAAACAGCGTATTTTTGAACATGAATGACATTTAATATAATCACGAATTTTTGTAGCTACCAAAATAGAGGTAGGTACTATTTCCGAATTCAATGTAGATTGAATTAAAGATGGTCTATATTTTTCTGTAGTAGATTTTCCATAAAGAGTTGTAAAACTTTTATAATGATCAGGA